TCTTTAAACTGTGGTGAGTTATCGTTGATGTCTTGAACGCGGATATGAATGCGGTGCAGTTCTAAAGGATTTTCCAGCACTAGCTCCTGTTTCAGAACACACGACGCCTTTTTCGCACAAAGCCCCTCTCGGTCGATCCTTTCTTGTACAATTAACTCGCCAGTATTGAGATTTACGCTGCAGTACTTGACACCGCTATCCTCTGTATCTATACGAGGCTTTCGAGTGGACAGTCTGCCCAAATCGAGTCCCAGATCCTTAGCGATATTTCCAATTATAGATCCACGTTTTATCTCCTCTGGCATAGAATAGCTCACGTCTCCACTCACGGTCCCGAAGATAATATACATATAAGCAAGGCCGCAGTGCAGCGCATATACGCTGTATCCCATTGCTACTGCGGAAAAAAACAAATTTTGCTAGCAGTTTTGTATAGTAAGATCTACAATGACCAATTTCCTTCTATAAGCGAAAAAATCACCCAACGTTTTGCGAAAAACAACTGCAACTACAGATTCGAGGTTGAAAGTCGTAGATAGTGAAGGGTGGGGTATTATTGCAGTCTCTCGTTTGCTGGTACACACTGACACCATGAGTATTTCTCTAGGTATAACAACACAACAGTATGATTTAATTTCAAACAGAGACATATTCATTGAAAATTGCCAGTCGAATCTACAAAAACTTTGTGAGAACAAAGAGATAAATTAAGTTTGCCAGATAATTATATACAACTGCTAGCAGGGTAGGTCAACACCAAACTAAACCATTTTTCCTTCAAGAGCTTCATGTTTTCAAATTAATTTTATATTTCAAGTCATTCCACAAAAAACTATAAGCTGGAGCATTTAAATTATAAATATTGTATGAAGTGCCAAACCTATATTCCATGATGTCATGACTCTCTCTCACTAATGAAACTGTGATTCTTATTTTCATTTTTAATGCACTTTCCTGTTTTACATTTCCACCGTCCTGTTTAAAAATATATATTAAGTAAAACTGAGAAAAAGCTGTATTGAATACATTCATGTATAGCCTGT